AGACTTTGGCTCCAAGGATTAAGCAGTTATTAACATCAGCCATGACCTGAGAGAAGCAGTTTATGAGTCATCCTCAAGTGATGGAGGTAGAAGCAGAGGGTGACCAGAAGTGAGGGCCACTCATTCTACAATTTAGTCACCGTTACGATCACTCAGTGGGCTCAAAGATTACAGGAATTGAGGCTTTAAATTTAAACTGATTCACCGTGCTACTCATTTCTGAGAAATCTCCTGCGAGTGCAGCACTCCCTGTTTCTAAATGTTTTAAACACATAACAAACCAGACGAGTGTACGATGAAAAGTGTACAGAAAAACTAAAAGCGACTTTTACAGTCTGAGGAGATGCTTAACAGGACTTTGATGTGTTTGAAACCATCAAAAAACAGATCCATAACCCTATCAGCCCTAAATATGGCAACATTAATCAGGCTATTGAAATTAAATAAACAGGGTTTCCTCCCTCACCTGTCACAGTCTCAACCTACCTGCTCGCAGTCCTTTAAATAATGAAACAACCCCTCTCTGTGCGCCTTTATGGACTGATGACTTTGTTTCGCCATTGATTGGCTAAGTTTTATTAATTTTAATTTAAGAACTGAAATTGATGACTTAAAAGTAAACTCAAATTATTATTGTCACGGTGCTGGATGCCTTGATGTAAGACAATATGACTGTATCAAGAAAAACTAAATATGAGAAAAACATATTGCTTGAATAGCATATGTCAAAAAAAAAGAATTCCAACGATTCGATTTTGACATTTTTTAAGAAATTGTTAAGTTTTATTATGGTGACATTTTGTACAATTATTTATATTCCTATCAGTGCAAATACTGATTTTAAAAACTTTACAAAAAGGACATTTCTGATATTTTTTTATGTCATAGTGCTACTCTGACTGACAGCCGTGTTTCACCGACCCATCAGCGTTCAGCGAAACTCCAAGCTTCTCCAGCAAAGTAAGGATAAAGAAGAGGGAACAAATTCCCACCAATATTCCCTGAAATCCATCATATTTGAATGCATTGTTTTGTCTGAGCATCAGCACAAAGTTTCATTAAAGGGTTGTTTTTAGTTTTCATTTAGGATTGTTTATTGTAAAAAAACGTAAGCAGTTAAGATAACTCACAATATCAACGGCAATGTTTTGAACAACTAATCAGTTGATTGTTCATTTCAGCTGAACACTGGCCCCTTTCTGGGTAATAATGAAACTGCTCACACAAACTTTATAATGTTCGTGAGCACTTGGCTCTCGGGGTCTGGGGTTTTTTTTTAGCGTGAGATAAACCAATTTTAATAAAACCAAGATTTAAGTTTTGATTCAGTTGTCACAAAGCTTACACATCAATATACCATATGCATTAATGAATGTTTTGTTTCCTCACATTTTTATTACTGCTTCCTATTTTATTTTTAGCTCTCTTTTCATTTAAGAAACTTCCCTTCTTGCCCATGAGGGTTTCCTGTCTGTGTGACTACCTACTCTTCCCTTATTTGTTTCACCTTCATTTCATTACCCTTGCAGCATGTGCGTTTCCTGTGTGTGTGTCTCATACAGGCGGTTTTCTTTTTCAGTGGTTCACTATTGGCATTTTGTTTTATTTTATTCCTTTCTCATGTTTTTAAAATAAGATTTCCTCTTTGTTACAGATTTACAATCCGTAACACATTTCAGAATAATTTTTAATACAGTTGTTGTTATTATTTGACAACTTAGTGGTTTCTTGTGAACTTTCCACATTGTGATGGAGCTTTTGGGGTTAGATTTGTGGCACTTGGCATTAGTGTTTGTGATGCAGTGCTGGTTATATTTTGGGTAGTGTGAGATACTTAAGATATGTAGGAGTGTGTACCAGTACCTGTGCATGCAAATTCTTTGGGATCGTGGCCTTAAACTCACCTAATTGAATTCAAAAGTTAAGAAGAGAGATTGCCTCTGATTGTCATGGGTCTGTGGATGTTACAAACTGCGTTCAGTGTTGTGAGGATGGCCTGAATGCAGGCAGAGGTGATGATAAAGCAAATGATTGAATAGAGTGTTAACAAGAAAAAATAAGGGAAACACTGGAAATGATGAGCTACAAGAAAAAACACACAGGGAATGGGAACTGCCAGGAGAGCAGACACTCTAACAAAGACTAATAGGACACATGGCACTGCATACACACAGACAGAGAGAAGGGCAATCAGCGAAGTGGAAACAGATGGAGAGAACGAGGCAACACCTGAACTAAATCACAGAAGATGGGAGAAGGGAAGAAAAACTAAAAGCAAAGCACAAGGAACAATGGACTATCAAAATAAAGCCGGAAGTGAGTCAACTTGGAAAACAGACAAAGGAATAAACTTAATACAGGAGACTTGACAAGAGAGGATGGCACACTGAAGGAGGAATTAAACTCTAAAGGATCGAGAACAGCACTAAATACACTAAAGTGGGGAAATACATGAAACAGCCTTAATTCTAAGTAAGCCAACAATCACATCAGATATTTACAAAAACAAAACTTGAAAGTCTAAAACACTTAAATACTGAGCAAACTGACCGTGGCACTGATGTCACACATGAGGCAAGTAAACCTTATGGCTAGCACTCACAACAAAAAAGAGGTCCTGCTGGTTATGAGATATGATAAGGTAAACATCAGAGGAAGATAGAAGAAGAGATTATTCAGTCAACATGCCCAAAGGGTGTTTTACTGCTTCCTCTTCCCCCCTCATTATTGTTTCTGGATACTGGCGTGTGCGCATGAAATAAAGAGCTTCAGAAACAGAGAGACCATGTGAGCTGGCGTGTTTGTGTGTTCAGGACACAGAAATGCTGATGCTTCTCCTTTGGGCCCTGTCAAGCACACTTAGCGTCAGTGTTTACAATGTAAAATTGGAGAAAGTCCCTGTAATTCCAGGAGGCCTGAAGGCTGGTGAGAACAGGAGGAAGACAGGAGCCAGGGGGAAATTGTTCAGAATTGGAAAAGCCCTCGGGGCTGTGTGTTCAAACACATGTGAAGGACGCACTCACCTCATGGTAAAATCACAGTGCATGATGTCATGGGTTTAGATTGATTTCCGCTGCAGCGTAGGTTCCTCTGTCAGAGCAGCTCAACAGATTCGTGGTTACCCTCAGGCAAATTTGATTTATAATGCTGGCAGGCTGAATACTGTTTTATAAAAGAGCACACAATGTGTCAGTGCTTTTCTGGCTCTGTGATTCTTCCAGTGGTTTGATTTAAAAACAAAGATTATCTGTCCTAGTTCAGGGCTGCTTTCATATTTTAAAGAGGATGTTTTTTGGGTGTGGGGGCATTCCTATTGTGTTTGTGGAGAGTTAGAGAAGATTAATATCACTCTCTTGTCTGTATGGTAAAATGTTACTGCATGAAGTTTTGTTGTTGCTGTAAGATTACCAGTGCATCAGATGAAACAGTTTCTGCCTCTGACTGAATACAGAGGCAGAAACTGCCTAAAGCTTAAAGCTTTCACTACATTAAACAAGACCAATTTCAAGTTAATTAATGAGGCCTTGAGTTGCTGATCAATGCAGTAGATTTTTATGTCTTATGATACAGCAACGGTAGCGGTTTTCTGTTGTTTCTGAGCTTCATGCAAGGCTAAGCTAATTGCTAAGCTAATTGCTAAGCTTTACCATGTTTTCAAGGATGGTCTGCATGTTTTCTGGTTTGTTTCCTTTCATCGGACTGATTTACAACTTTTTATTATGGATTTTCTGATTAAGGCCCGTAGCTTATGTACACCAAACCTGGACTGGCTTTAATCACTCTAACAGACATTAATATGTAATAAAATGCACTTGATCCACTTTCATGCAAGCAGATTGTTTCTTCTGCTTGATGAGAAAGAATGAACTAGATCAGATGTGCAAGAGTTGTTCTGATTCTGTGACCCATCATTCTACAGATAGGTCACAGAAACATACGGGCTTTGCTGTAAAGAGCTGAGGCTGTCACACAGACTAAGCCCTAATGATAGAAACAGGTGATTAAAAAAACAAATTTGAGTCCTGCTATACATAAGTAACCTTAAAATACTTTAGTAAATGTACTGAGTTACTTTCTACTACTTGTTGAATAAAAAAAGTATTCAGGTATATTTTGTCAATGATCCAAACTGATTTGTACTTAAACAAAGGTCAGTGCAATATAATCATATATAATCAGTTCAATACAATCACATAATAATTTGATTGTAATTTGTCCTTGTATCTAATATTAAATACACAATTTTACTACTTAAAGCAGCAGACTAAGTGCAGGAGCTGATAACTAACCACCACACTTGTATTTGGGGTGTTGTAAAGCATGTAAAGCTGGACTGCCCGTGGTGTGCCAAAAAGTGAGTGACTACCAAAAAAAAAAAGAAAAAAAAGATTTCCAGTGGGGTTTTTTTTGTGTTTTTTAAAGCACGATATATTTGTTTGCTTTGGTAAACAAACTGTGACCTGATACAAGTATCTTTATGACTCTGTGTTATTGTACTTACATTATAACCAATCCAGCCTTTTTGGGCTACTTGACATATCTTTATAAATGGACTGTTTCTTATATCGCACTTTTCTACTCCACTTGAGCGCTCCAAGCGCTTTACACAACATGCTTCATTTACCCACTCATACAAGCACGATTTTTCTACACTTAAGTGCTGTCTATCTAACAGACACACACATTCATACTCTGATGAACGCATCGGAGAGCAATCTGGGGTGCGATATCTTACACAAGGACACTTGGGCACCTGGAAGCATCAAAGTGCTTCCAGGGCCCTGTGCACGCAGGTTTGATGCGCTATTATTGGCACAGAGAGACGTGCAAATAAAATAAAATAAAACAAGATCCAAATATCTTCTACTAATGTGGGTGGGAATGGTCAGTGATTCCCATTCAGCACCAAGATGTGAGATTCAGCGCAGGCCGCTCTCCGCATCCCTCTCGCCCATCCCCTCCCGCCAGCTGCCACTTGCAGTAGTGGTGATGCTGCTCCCTGGCGTGTAGAGGAGGAGAGAGAGCGTGCCCGCTGCCCAATGACAGCGCAGGATGCTGAGAGAGGCTGCTCGGGTGAATGGAGGCGACAAGATGCCGTCTAGAGCGGCGAAGAAGAGGAATTAACATCGATAAAGGTAAAGCCCGTGCGTTTATTTTACCTCACATCAGATCTGTGATTTTCATTACAGAAGAATGAACGCCTGACATGCGCGAAGGTTTTTTTCCTCTGCCTTCTTGAGGGTTTCATGAACGACTTGCCGGGGGAAAAGGCACAGGCTGTGTGCGTTTAAAAAAAAGAAGAAGAAGAAGAAAGAAATCCTCCTAATTCCGTGGTGGCTGATTGCATAGCTCACTTGATACGTAAGAATTTGCATTTTTAAGCCGTGTTGACGCGATAGAGCAGCGAAGTCTTTCAAAATAAAGGTTTCAATCGCTTTCTCCACGGCGGGTTAGACTAATATTTCATTGGTGTATTCAGATGCACACCACGCTGGAGCTATCGAAAATGTAGGCCCAGTGAGCTGTCAATTGCTCGGTCGTGCCTTCCTGTATTACTGTGCTGCATTAAATGTAGCCCCTATCACCCAGTGTCAATAAGGCGACATAAGGAGAAACACCTCAGCTCCAAATAGTCGTTTATGACTTAATGAAGGTTACCGTGATATCGGGGTGTTTGACATTTCCCTCCCCCCGCCCGTGACATCTTCCATTAGGAGCCTGAAGCATAAGCTGGACCATCCTTAAATACTGGAATTTGGTGGATAAGTGGACATCTACATTTTCTCATCTAATCATCCAAGCGTTGAAGTCCGTGGGAGGCATTCGGGGGCGTCAAGGCTCTGTAGTAGAATACATGATGAGGAGGCTGCATGTGTTGCACTTGCTCTCGTAAGGAACCGGTTGGCGTGCTTGGCCGCCTTCACATGAATTACTAACTATTATCGGCCCATATGACAGTCTATTTATAGAAAATGTCCTTCTTTGTCCGCCATTGGCATGCGCTCTGACCTCACATTACCACAGCCGCTCCATATAGTTTAGTAGGCTGGTCGTTTCATCAGTTTCATCAGGGTAAGAACAAAATATCCCCGTGCAGCCTTTCGTAAAATGTCACGATTGCCTGATAGGAAACACTCCCCCTGACCCCAGAGGTAGCCAAAGCATCCCCTGTGGTGAAATCTTTGTTTCGGGACATCTGTACCCTCTCTGCTGTTTCCGCACCATTTCTCTCTGATCGTTTCTTTACTGTGTTACACTGTAATTTGCTCTTAGGTTTGTCACCTCAGCGGCATAATCTATGTTTCAAACCCTCCAAAACCACGCGTGTTTGATATTTACGATCGCAATAATAAGCTCACAGCAGAAAGCCTGGATAATAAAGTCTGTAAACAAGTTTGGTGTCATAATGGAAGTAAGCTCTGATTTCCCTTCTGATTTGTCATGGAACCTTTTGTTATCCATATAAGGTAGATGATTGCAGTTGGGCTTGTCATCAGCTGGCATCTCTTGAGGTTCTTCTATATTATCACTGTTTCTGCAAAAATAGATACTCTCCTTTTTCCATTTTTTGACAGTTTTGTCATTCTGGCTTTCTCAGCAGTGTGCTTCGGATGCAGGTGATTCAATTTTCCTTTAGAAAAGGGTTATAACAACAATAAACGAGCCCCCACAGTCTTTTATAACACAGTATATAAGGTAGAACATAGCACGTTATGGTATTTGTCACAGATATTTGTCACTTGAGTCCAGCTTCTACAATGAAACAAACAACAATGACTAAATGGACTAAATGGATGATTTAGTGTAAATTTTTTCACTATCTGCAATCTTACACTGCAAGTCCTATGACCAAACCACAATTTACAGATTTCCATCCAACTATTCCACCACTGCAAGTGCAAGGAGAGAAACACATGACTGTGGCACAATGATGTGCTTGGAATGTGCCATATGGTGGACAGGGAATACTGTGCAATGTAAAAGCCTTATCACTAGCAGCTGATTTCTGTTAGGACAGAGAAAGACACACTTTTGGTGTGTTCACTTAAGCGGTGGCAGTCTATTGTGCTTTCAAAACCTGTGTTTGTATGTTGTTGTTGTTTTTTTTTAAACATTTCCCAGCATTGTTCTGCATGTGTGGTTTTCCTGTAATTTCAGAGTTTATATGCCTAACTCGGAATGGAAGTTGGATAGCCTAAAAAGCTTCAGCGTTGGGCAAGAAGACACATTTTAGGTCAATTTACAGAGTGAGAAACATGCTGGAGTCACTGCCTGAATCGTTGGCTCATCATTTGTGACACAAGTCAAACTAAAACAATAATCCTATTTCTGTAGAGACTCGCATTTATATATCCTAACAAACTCTGATTCACTGGCTATTTTCTGACACATTAATGGCTCAACTCTGAGCAGTGTCATCTATCAGCAAAAAAAATAATGATTATGAGGCTCATTAGCAGGACAGTGCTAATTTGTTAAAAGATGCTTCTCTGCAGTCTTTTGCTGGATATGTTGGGGGTTTTTCCCCATAAATTTACCAACTAGACTTCACAGAGCTGCTGTAGCAAGCTGACCGCTGAAGATAACAGCAGCAGGCTTTGTTGTTGCACATGTCAGCATATTTGAAATTTGCATTTAATTTGCTCGTGTCCCTTTGAGCATGTAAAGTTAAAAAAGAGGGGTTTTTTTGCAGCTAAAGGATATAGATGAAATATCTGAAGGCATGCTCTGTCCGAGCCTTTAGACAGATTCCATTTGATTTTCTTTTGCCCTTTTTAAATATATGCATATATCTGTCCAGCCCCGTTCTGTTTCCAGACACCTGTTACTTAATACAGCTAGCAGAGAAGACACTGTCTCGTTCCACTTCCTCAGCCTGGCTGCAGTGATCGCTGCTGGGCAGGCGCTGATTTACAGATGAAGCTTCGGTGAAAGCAGCTGAGGGTCCCCATCATCAAAAATCGCATTGAATTTCACACACTGCCCAACCTGTCGATATGCTCTACCGTGCCATTAATTGTCATTTTAACTGCCCTTCAAAGTAAAATACAAGAATGTACATGATAATAAAAAAGGAATTATTTGCAGAATATACCCTTAAGTAAATTTTGTGCTGCATATACAATTAAACATTTAAAAAAAATTTTTTTTAATCAGACCTTTTTGAAACATTACGTCAGACGACTGAGGTGCTTTATCTTTGTTAGCCCTGGCATAGTCACCATGGCAACTGGATCTGCGTAACAAGTGTCACCAAAGGAGACACTTTGATGGAAGAGTCTGGTTCTTTTTAACTTACACTGAATGCCTATAAGCTCAGTTAACCTTTGTCTTATACAGGGTTATACAGGGTTATACAGGGTTATACAGGGTTATATAAGGTATTTGACCCCAAATATCAGCTACGGTGTAATAAGGACATCAGGTTTAAATAAATTATAAGCGTAATACATCTTGTGATATATTTAAACTAAAGATGGCACAAACTGACACATCCATTATTACACCCATTAAAAATTAACTCTCCCACATCATTTTCTCCCATTTAGCCAGTAATGTCTGCTTTGCTTTGCAGTCTTTTAATTTCTGAAAAAACAAAACAAAAAACAAACTAGGCCCCATACTATGGCATTACTGTTATAGTTAATACTAATCCCTTCACATGTTCAAAAAATGAAACCCAGTCAAAAATATCCATTTATTTTCTTCATTGCAGTCTGGAGTCTATGCCAGATGACACTGGGCAAAGAGGCGGCGTACACACTGGATGGACAGTTCACCAGTCTAACACAGGAAAACGCAGAGAATCAGACAACCATCCACACTTTACTGTTTGCACACAACAACATGCAGTTAAGAGATAACAGCTGCAGCATTGTGCTGATCCCAAAGACACGTTCAATCCCAAACTCTTTACAGTCTTATTGTGAATATTACTGTGTGAATTAAATTATCCGTTTATGAGACAATAAAATACTGCAGGGCTTTACTCTGTTCTGTTTGCCATGGAATCTGTTAGCTGTCTTTTTGTACACACATAAATCACATTTATTTCTTTAGATATTGCATTGACTGCACTGTTGGATGCACTGTGGTACTCTGTGTTCATGTGCTGTGATGCTCTTCATACTGTTACAAGCATGCTCGGTCATGCTTCTGTGTATGTGGGACATGTTATGGGCTAACTGCTCATTAAAACCACTTTCCGAACAACACATTTTTCTCCTCGCACGAGGAGCTAATTAGGAATCAACACTGCTAATTGGGTCTGTACTTTATCATTATATCTTAATATAATAAAACAATACAACTAATAGCCCCTATTAGTTTTAATTAAAGCAATATCATTAGAATGTGAAAAACCTTAAAAAATGACTAGATGTTTTAAAAGATTTTTCTTTAGTATCTCAGTAAATTTTCCATGGATATCATTGTTCCCTCTACTGCACAATAAGCAAGCATCAGTGAATGGGCATGTGATATATTATTCCTGTGAATTAGTCCGTTGTTTATTTGGGATCATTAATGGGATTTACTGTACATCACTGCTGGACAGTGTATGAATCCAGTGGGATGCTGGGAGATTCCTGTAAGTCACATAAATTGTGTCAATTTGCTGCTAATAAAACTAATAAATGATAAAACTAGTTATTTTTCAATCCATAGTAGTATTTTGCAGGCCAGGTCTGTTTTGGTATTCTTTTCTGAATGTATTTTTGTTTTTTGGGTTTTTTTTGTAATAGTAAATGCTTTGTCTCGCTGTGCCTTTCATGTGACACGTACAAATAGTGGTTATTCATCTAACAGAAGCTTCTCTCCTGTTTCCTCAGATCTGACTTTGATCTACTCCACCTTTTCAGACATGAAATAAGTCACCCATGTGCAGTTCTAAGAGTCAGAGCAGTCTCATTATAACTCGCCCCTGTTAAGGACCCCTCTGGTGGCTACACCGCCGAATCACAGGACATGTACGGCAGTGCCAGAGCTGTAGGCCATGTAGAGAGCAGCCCCGTACGGTCCCCGCGCCTACCAAGGTCCCCCAGACTGGGCCATCGAAGGGCACACAGTGGGAGTGGGGGCGGTGCGGGGGGCAAGACGCTCTCCATGGAGAACATCCAGTCCCTCAACGCTGCCTATGCTACTTCGGGGCCCATGTACCTGAGTGACCACGAGGGCGTGGGCTCCACTGCCACCTACCCAAAAGGCACTATGACTCTGGGTCGCGCCACCAGTCGGGCCATGTATGGGGGCCGTGTCACAGCCATGGGCAGCAGTCCCAATATTGCTTCTGTGGGGCTGCCTCATGCTGACCTTCTGTCTTACAGTGACCTGGGCTCCCTCTCCATGCTGCACCCCCACCACCACCAGGGGGTGCCCTCTGCTCTGCTGAGGCAGGCAGTGCGGGGCAGTGGTGGGGAGCTGCTGGAGATGCAGGCCCAGCTCAGGGAGATGCAGAGGGAGAATGAGATGCTGCGACGGGAGCTTGACCTGAAGGACAGTAAGTTGGGATCTTCCACCAACAGCATCAAGAGTTTCTGGAGTCCTGAACTGAAGAAGGAGAGGATAATGAGGAAAGAAGAGGCGGCTCGTACGTCAATCCTCAAAGAGCAAATGAGAGTCACTCATGAGGAGAACCAGGTGAGACAAGCCCTCGTAGCTGTCATAATCCACTCATTACTGCAGTGAATTTCAGTTGCTGCTTTTGTCTCTTGCCTTTCTGTTTTTTATCACGTACTGTCCTTCTTGAGCTGTGACTGTGCTTTCACCACGCTCTCCTTCTGCAATAGACCACAGTCATCCTCAGTCCAAGATTTCAGAGAATTATTGCAGTCATGTTTTTCAATACTTGTGGGAACCTTTCTGGAAAGAGTTATTTGTGTGCATAAATATTTAACATGCCGACACTCTCCTCTCCTAGTACTCCTCTGCAGAATCAATGTCACCTCAGCCACAGGAAATACAAAACCCTAATCAAGTTTTTTACAATATACTCGAAATCTGAGCATATTAAGTTAAAAGTGCAGTGACGCTGCCAACAGGTAAACTGAACTTCCTGCACACAGTATAGAAGCAGCACTGCTTAATTTTAGTGTATTTTTTTAAAGGTTCAGCAGATTGGCCCTAGAGGGGGGAGATGTCAAAAGGTTTTCTGCTTGCCTCAGTGTGGGGGTGTAGTCATGGCCCAGTTAAATCACTGCCTGACAAGAGTAGGCACAAGGCCCAGACACAATTGTCAAGGACTCTTAAACACTCTCTATCTGTCTTACTCTCTAACTGTCATTCTCATTTTCCACTGTCTGTCCTTTACTCGCACTGGCTTTGATCATCTCTCGCTGTTTACCTCTGTTCATCTGGCCTTCACTGCATCCACTTTAAGAGAGCTTTCAACCCACTTTTGGAGTTAATGAAGTAAAAGGCTAACCTGCAGCTTTCTTCTTCTTTTCCACTGACCTGTGTGTGCAGCACACAAATATCTACAGAAAACAAGGTGGATAAAAAAAAAACCCCCAGCTGAGCTCGCGTTCATGTTGAGAAAATGCTCACCCTGATTTTAATCATTTTTATGTCAAACCTTGGTGGCAGAAATTGGAAACAGTTAGCTGACTCATAGTCTGGAGAGAACATTTGAATATAAAGCCCTCGGTTCAGTTGGATATGTCATTGCTGATGATACAGTGCACTAGATTGTGGAGTAGGTCAGCGTACTGCTTGTCTGGCCAGACTGAACTGTACAGTATGTTTTTTCTTTTTGTGGCAGGCTGTGGCCATGATGCAGCAAATTGAAGAATACCTCAGTGATGTAAAGGTTAAATATGACCAGCCGGCTGGCGTCTTTGTGCCAGTTTGAGATGTGATTTAAAATAACGAACAGCCAGTGGGGCATTCATTACTCAAAGCAGCAGACGGTGTCTCTCCACCCTTCAAGGTCATAGAAGGATAGTGTTAGCAGGACCGTCACATGACTGTCTGTCGGTACATTGGTTTGGATTTATGTATAAGAACAGCCCTTTAAAAAACAAATCGGTTTGGACGCACCTGATTTGACTGGAGTTAAAAGGGCCTGCACTTTTTATTCTTGTGGTTACAGCAGTGTCATGAGGCTAAACTGAAAGATGCGTCACAGGCTGGATGCCTAAACCTGCTAGCAACCCTCATAAAGGGTGTGGGGCAGGTGTACTTTGATTCTTGTCTTTCTTTATGATTCCTAAAAAAACAAAGGGGCACTTGTTTTGGGCGTGAATGAGCACAGCAACTGACATTTAAAAGATTTGTGTGGTGTTATTTGATTTCCTTGATTTGTTTTTTGAATCCACGCCTGAATAAAAATGATATCATCATTTGCAACACATTAATTTGGCAACAGTTGTGTAGATTATGCACAGCCTTTGTATTTGAATAGTAGGCAGACTGTCTGGTTATTACTGATGAGAGTCTGTGTCACGCATCGGGATGAAGTCAAAGATTTAACATCGAAACAAGTTTTGTATGCAAATGTGCCTGTTTAATAGCAGTGTCAGTGACAAGACCAAAGCAGTTCTTTACATTCAGTGTGATTAGGTACTGAGTCCTGTATGCATTTTTAGCCTGGCTTCAGACATTGCAGTGGCTGATTGGTCCTGTAGAACATGAAGGCTATATACAGTGTTGGCTTTAATAGGTTTTCACTTGCCACAAATATATTTAGCCTTGTCCAGTCCATAGACATCCCCTGCACTGAGTGATATTTATGTTCCTCCTGGTAGGGCTCATTAATGAAGTATGTCAGCTAATAAAAGGCAGATGTGCTTTGTTACTATAATTGGTCTGTTCTAAGTTGATTTCTGGGCTGCAAGGCGTCCTTACATAAGTGCATACTTGCAGTGGAATGCTTTGGTCACACCCACTAGGCTTGTTCAGAGGCTGAGTGAGGAGCAAATTGCTTCATTAATAATGGAGTAATTTCAGGCCAATCATTACGTCTGTCTTGCAGAACTCTTTACAGTTGCATCAGGTGCCTTGGGCCTCTATTAGCTTGAGCAAATGCCATGCATTATTTATCGTGCGAAATCTAGAATAAGGGAGGATGTGCTTCTTTTTTTAGACAAACTTTTTAAAGACATGCTCTCTGGCATTAGATTTTGCCTTTTGTCTGTTTTGTAAAGCGAAGATTTCATTGTGAGTGAAATACCAAGCGTAGCCTGCAGAGTTTTTATCAAAACGTTCAATGGTCATGACTGGAGGTAATGATTACTGATTAGCCCGGGACCGTTTTGTGCATTTTTAATGTAGTGTGGCTGAGGCCGTTATAAAACTGTTCTTTTTTGACTCCATTTCACCAAATGTTTTGCTGCGCTCAAGCTGGAGAAGAGCTGCTGGAGGCAAATATGCGAGCTAGAGCATACCATATCGGACTGAGTCATGACCACTCCTGCTCAGCCACCCAGTCAGCCTGCATCAATGCTTTTCACAAAAATGGAGGCTGAGCTTCCCAGTCCCTCTGCTCTGTGTCTGTGCATGGGTGCAATGTTTGCTTATTTTATGCTGGAAGATGCCAATCTTTACATGGTGTTATCACAAGTGTGAACTTGTGAATCTCACCAGAGTGTTGGGGTGCATTTTAAATACCTCATGAAAAAGCATTCATGCTTGTATTCCTCATATCTGTGTGTGTAGTGTGTTTGCATTCTTAATTAGCGGTTACTTCCTTTGGTAGTTGTGCTGGCTTGTAAATGTGTGCACAGAAGTTTAATTGCCAGGGTGTGTTTGTGTGGGAGGGGATAGTTAATTGTTTGTATGTATGATTCATGGCTCAGGTGAACCCACTACAGAGTACATTAGTGCAGTTTGTTGATTTATCCCATTTTATTAAGTAGCAAACAAGCTTGCAGCTGTCATACACAGATGATGAGCAAAAGTACTGATGACACGTTGAGTCATGTCACAGTCAGCGTCATGTGAATAGTCACTTTTCTTAAAGTGCCCATGGATTCTTCCCGTGCCTGCCACTCTCCATCAGAGCACATAAGATGGCTGCTGCCTCATCCACACGACAGGAAGGTGTTGAAATGAGGAGGCCGTCTCCCTATTTTATTTTGACAAGATGAGATTAAAATGCAGTTTACATAGGGCAAGGCTGCTAGGATTTGGATGAGAGTGAAATGTTACAGTCTCCTTTTTCTACAGAATCGCATCAGTTTAGATTCAGAGCAGAGATTTGAGTGCAGAAAAATCATAACAAGTAAAGTAATAAAAAATATGCACAAATGTAAGCCAGAAAATAAAAGGTAATCACACAATTAATGACACTGCAGTTTTGCATTTCTCTAGGAACATATTTGAATCTTGTTATTTCAATACAAAATACATGTCAAAATACAGTGGGGGGAAGAATGATCTGATCCCCTGCTGAGTTTGCTCACTTGCAAAGAAATGAACTCTAATCTTCTCTGATTTTTATGGTAGTTTAATTTTAATGGAGAGAGACAGAATATCAACCAGAAATTCAGAAAAAAAAATACATTAAAGTTAAATCCTTGTTGGCAACCACAGTTGTAAGACAGCCATAACATGTTTCTTGTAGTTGCTCAGCAGGTCTTCACACATCTCTGGTGGGATTTTTGGCCCACTCTTCTTTACAGACACTCACTGAAACCTTGAGGTTTCTTGGTAGCTGCTTGGCAACTCAAAGCTTCAAAGTCTGGAGACTAGCTAGGCCACTCCATGACCTTAATGTGTTTCTTCTTTAGCCATTTCTTTATTGCCTTGGTCATATGTTTTAGGTCAGGGGTCAGCAACCTTTCTGATGATGAGTGCCATCTAAAATTTCCTCAGAAGTCAATGTGCCATATGATTGCATTAGCAATAAATTTAATAACGCTCTATACTAACAGTTACACACTATATAGAACAACTTTATAGAATTATATTTGTTCGCAGATGTTGGCAGCTATCAGCAAATAGTTATCAGCTACTTTGTAACAAAAAAAAGACACTTTTTTAGCCATAACAAGAACTCCATAACAGCAAATGAACTGTACAACAGAAAATGCAAATGCTATTTATGGTCTCCTCACAACAATGATAAGAAAAATAAACTGGGCCAATTGGCATGTTTGTTAATACAGAGATACACGTATTAATGTGACCTCTGGTCTCTCACTCAGAGACACAGGTCTCCGAGTGTCCAGCATTCAGATGGCTACCTGAGGACTCTCTTCGTGTGAGAGAAAATCTGCTCACACAGATATATAGAGCCAAATGTCAATAAGGCCTCCGCAATGTTCTGAAGACAGTTAAACTTGTCAGGTAGTGATGTCCAGCAGGTGAAAATGCAAGCTCCATGAACACGCACAGCTATGGATACCAGTTGCATTTGTATTTCTGCAAACTTTGACCCCCCACAGAGTGTGAGTTCTGTCACGAGTCTACCGATGTATCCGTGTATTTCCGCGGTGTTGATGCTGCGCTGAGCGAACAGCTCCTGAAGCATTTGAAGTGTCGGAATGTTGAAATTTCAACATCGCTTGAAAGAACTGCCAGCTAGTAACGTCCCTTTTACCGGTAGGCCAAGTAATCTTTAGCTTATTAGTTGTATCTGGTAGTTGGGGTTGTTAGCTAAGGTACCATCATTAAGAAGTGGCACAACTAATGTGTCTATG